GGGAGAACATGTTTTTATGGCTGAGGAACTGTTGAAAGGCTGGTTGTATTTATAACAAAGAATCAAATTCAGGAACACAATAAGACGAAATTAACAGAGATGTTCCTTTTCAAGACTTTTAATAGAAATTTTCCTTATTAGTAATTCATAATAAAATTTTGTCAGAAAGAAAGGGTTATCATGTGTATGGATTGACGACCAGTCCCCAAAATTCCGATAGACGTAAATCCCGATTTACAGTATCCCGATTGTCTGAAATCTCGACAGAATGAGATTCAACCGGATTAATTTGAGATTGGTTAATTTTTAATGTAATTCTTTTTACAATAACTGATGAACATTTCAGTATCATGCTACAACTTTTATTTACTTTTGCATTTTACTTTCAGGACTATGTTTAATTAATATCGAATGCCTCCTAAAGTAAATGATGTAATTCAATGTTTGAAAAAAAAATTATATTTATGGAAGAAAATAAGACGATAATGAGAAATGGCAATATAATTCGTGATTTGCCGCTATTTCCACCAGCATTATTTATGACCCAATTGTAACAATTTCGTTAATATTAATAAAATTTACAAATAATTTGCGTTAATAACTAATTAAATTATTCAAATTTATAATGAATTTACAAATAGTTGATAAATTAAGACCAGTTACTGCGCCACAGCGTTTTTAATATTATTTTGCTTTATTATGTTTAATTAGAAAATTTTTATTTATTTATTTATTTACATAACAAACTTCGGGATTTCGGCTGTCAATATTTTTAGATTGTCAAGATTTTTTAACTGTCGGGATTTTGGCTCAACCGGGATTTAGGATCATTGGGATACTTTTGTCGGATTATAGATGTCAATATTATAATTGTCAGGATTGTGGCAACTTGTTAAGTGCACTATGAACCTTGTCGGCCACGTGAGTAGTACAGGTTATCTGTTAAAACCAATCACATCGTACCTTGATCACGTGTAAAGTAATTTTTTACATTTTTTTAAAAAAATTTTCTTCTTGAAAGTCGAAATTTTTTTTACAAGAGAATACTTTGAAAAAAAAAAAAAAAAAATTTTAAAAAAATTTTTTTACTGTTTATTTCATATCAAAATGAAATGTAACCTCCACATTTTTTGAAATGAAATTCGAAATTAAGAATTTCAAATGTAAATCAGTATCAGGTTTAGGGATTTGTCAGAAATTACGTGAAGTCGGGTTTATAACCTAACGGGATTGTGTATCGACATTCATAAAGGATCGACACCATTCTATCGGAGAAATGATGTTCGCCCAGCATTGATTTGCCAGCAAAAAATATTTTGTACAACTGTAAATAAATTCAATAATGCCGATCATGTCGAATACGTGTTTAATTTTCTTCGCATCGGAATTGAACTTAAACTCCATATATAGTATAACCAATAAAATAACATTTCCATGATATTGTTCCACAAGAAATATCGATAGTCTCAAAGCTATAATTTATTAGAAACGAAAAGTTTATAAGATATTTGTAATATGCAAGATGTATTTTATATTTAGCACAGACCTAGACTATTCAATTCCATCGGAATTGTTTAGGTTTTTCCGTTTGGTTCAGATAAAATTTGACCATCCTTTATGAATGCAGATTTTCTAAGATCTTTACTTAAACCTTATTTGTTCATAACCATGTGATGATATGTGTAGTATTTTTGATTATACTTTAATCATATTGAAATGACAAATACATTACTTAAGCAAAACAGATATTATGAACTGCAAGTCATTCTATTTGTAATTTCATAAGCAAATATATCCATTCTCAGCGTAACTTCACTTCCTGAAAGGGAAAAATTGGCGGCGTCAAAAAACGTAACCCGTTTGCAATCAATTTCTCCTTGATAAGTTCTTAACCTTAGTACAGTTATTTTCATCTCTATTCCATGGTAATAATTAGCCCCTGTTGCGAGAATCTATTCCTGGTGATCTCGGAAATTCCGTAATTACTGTTTGAGAATAAAAATGGGAATTTAATATTGTACAGCATCACGCTGTTTTGAAAAGTCATGCTTATCATCAGTTCTGATAAAATTAAAAGAAAAAGTTTAGAAATATCAGAATAAAAAAAACATTGATTACCATACCATATTAGGAATTTCATTTAAGGATTGGCATTTTAATTAGAAGATCGTCAATTACTACTTTATTGTAAAGAAACTATTCGAAGAAGCACGTGTAAGTGCATAAACCAAAAATGGACTTCATTTTCGTATTTATCGTATATTTTTACGCAGTAAGAATTGTATAAAGTGATAAAGTGGTAATTAGAATTTTTGTATTAAAACTCGAAATATTATTAATTTCAATTCATTAACACACGAGGTATCGAACAAAGGTTTAAAGTTAATACCTCAACTGGCTCAACATTAATGTTATATATTTATTAATTAGGCTATTTTTCTATTTTTTAAAATTAATATGCATCAATTATTCAATCAAAAATTTGAGATAAATCACGTGGTCTTATGCTCAGATGTTAGTAATTTATAAAAAAGAACGTCCTTAAAATAAAATAAACCAATTATTTTATTCAGGTTATTGTTCTAGACTGCAACTTTATTTCTTGTGTTGAAAAAAGTAGTAATCGGATTTGTCGCCAGGTTACGCATGATCTTCATACAGTACATACATAATCCCGATGATTATCATATTTTGATAGTACCAATAAAATTTTAAAAAGTCACTTTGTCTATATTATTTATAAAAATAAATTAAAAAGCCACTTATAATTTTATTATGTATAATAATAAATTATGATAATACAATATTGTTATTTTATTGCTAATAGATTGCATATTTCATGAATAATAAATTTTTATTTTCCTTCCTATTTTTATGGACGAATAAATTGATTGTTTTTGTAATTATTACAATTCTTACAATAATTTAAAATTGATTAATTAATATTTCTAATACATTGTATTATGGTTCAAATCTTTCCAAGTTCTTTAGTGTAGTTTGATAACTTTTTTTTTTTAGTGCTGTAACACCATCGTTTTTAATAATTTGAAATTGGGTCAGAATTTCTTTAACCAAAGATGAACTTTTGGTTTATTACATGTTTCCTCTAATAATTCCTTCTTAAAATGTATTAAATAATAATAATAATAATAAATTGTAACAACATTTAGGCCGCTCCAATTTAATTATTTGTTTAACGTACCCCTATTTTTTCAAAAATCTGGATACGATTTTCCAGAATTTCCCGAATTTTTCCAAAAGTTATATTATGTTTGTTTGTTTATTGTAGACCCCCTTGAACAAACAATCAAATTGGAGCGGCCTCATGTAATTCTCGGAATTTGTAATATTTTGGAATTGTGTGGCGTAAAAGATCAATTAGATCACGTGATAGTTTACCATTCTTTAATGCCAAAACGCCACATTTAATGCCATAATGCCAGCGAAAAATATCACGTGAGCGCAAAATTTTCCCAGCGTAGAGTTTATCCGCGGATATTCGGATATCCGGATCGAACGGATATGGATATCCTTGGATATCCGGATATTACTATCCGTTAAGAGTAACTCGGACCAATTTTATAATTCCGGCCAGAATTATGCTAAAATATTTCCTTTTTTAGAAAAAGAATTTTGATTTTTAGAAAAATAAATTTGACCTGAATTAGTCTGCTAAAATAATTGAATATCCGGATAAACGGATAACATAAAAATAGGATATCCGGATGGACGGATACAAACTTCTACCCCAGCGGCAAATGTATCGTTCTTATACGTGTACGACATACTATCTTATACTATGTGACATATACGTCGTATAAGAACATAGCACCTGATCGTATAAGAACGATACATTTGCACCCCAGCGTAACCAACCAAAAAGCTCGGACACGTGATCTATATATAGTGCGACACCGAAATTGATTGGTTTGATCTTGTGTAACAATTAACTTAAATAATAGAGAAATTTTGAGACTTTATTAGCAATAAGTAAGAGAACTAACTAATTACTTTACAAAAAAAATATACATTGAAATTGGCCAAATCGAGTTTGACCGAATCTCTCCATACCATCTCCTCGCGCGCGCGGGAGTGCAATAACGCGAGGCTCTCGCGCGGCAGTGCAATAAAATAAAGAGAAAGTAAAAACATTGCGAAAAAATTCAAAAGGACTTATATTAAAAAAGACAATAGTTAAAAAAAATTTTTATTTTATACTCATTGTCTTTTTAAATAGTTTTATTATATTTTCGTTGTTAGCTTCTACCTGTTGAGTAAGTTTGGCTTGCTCTTTTTTTATTATATTTTTATTAAAAAATTTTATACTTTATATATTTTATGAAATAAAAAAAATTTATTTTTAAAATTCTCTATATAACTGATAAAGAATAATATTTATGCCTAATAAAAATATACTGTTTATACAAAAAAACGTTATAACTTTATCTAAATACTTTTAATACTTGTTAAAACAAACCTTAATTAAAAAGTAAAGAAAAGACAATATTTATATAATATAGGTTTCCAAAAAAAAAAATATAAAAACAAAGAAATAGGCGGAAGGACGCGAGAATATTGCATCAAACACAGCCACGCTGGGGAAGATATTTTGTTGGTGGGTATAAATAATCATATGTGTGCAATTCGCAAATCCTACCATTTTATTTCATAGTGATTGTTCTGATTGTTCGTTCCTAAACCCCTATAAATAAATCTGATAGGCAAAATCTCGTGATAAATTGTCAGTAATTGGTCATTGAAATCAATTAATTTCTAAATCGGCCAAATTATTTTACCCATACACAATAAACGAAAAAAATTATTTATTTATATTTATTTATTTATTTATTTAGTAATATGACAAATAAGATCTTATATTTCTCATTATATACTCCATATCTTATTACGAATGCATAGAATTTTATAATTTTGTATCAGTATTAAAGTTAATAAAAAATAAATCATAAACTTATTATAAACTTAAAAAGAATCCTTGTAATATGGATCATATATTATTAGCTTTTTGTTTCGAGTATACTTATTCTCGGCGTGATTTCACTTCCCAAAGAGGGTATATTTGTAGCATAAAAAAAGTGATAAATTAATCCTTAATAATATTCTTATCCTTAGTATATCTGTTCTTCTAAATTTAATTTGATAATGAAATTCACAACGTTATTATAAAGTAAGATTATGTGCTACTTCACGAAGAAAATCTATTAGAGAATAGGTTTCTCGATTATTAATTATCATCATAATCCTATTTTCCCTATCGATCAACCTCTTTTTTTGCTTTGGCCGTCTCTCACCATGTGCAATACATTCAACTTGAACTTCAACTTCTTGCTGTCCCTTTTGCAATTCTTCAATGATTTTACAAACATCTCCATTTGCCTCTTCAATCAAGGTTTCCCAACGATGATGCCAGGCCTCCACAGCGTTTTCTGTTTGTAAGATTCCATATTTTATTGCATCATAAACTGACCATAATGCTGGTGGAAATGGTGGTGAATCACGAGTCACATTACCATTCCGCATTTGTCGAATTATTCTTCCAGAAACATAGTTTTCTTCAAACCACTGAACTACTTCATTTGCCTCCTGAGGCATGATTGATTTTAGAATATCGAATGCGGCAGGAATTTCTTGTGGCGGTAAAAATGATAGTGCATATAGATGCCGCAACATAAGACTAAATTGTTCGTCATTTCCATATTTAATGGCAAGTCCACAGTCTCGTATTTTTCGCCAGTAATTTTGTCCTAGACGAAAAAAATATCCCTTACTAGTAATATCTGGAAACTCGTAACGTGTCGAATTAATTACTGCTTGTTCAAAATCGGTAATTATGTACGATGGTGATAAATAGACCCCATTTTCTTCAGCAAATTTTAATAAGTTATCGAATAACCGTCTATAAAGTTTCTCGGTTTTAGATGTCATTAATACATACACTAATGGAAGAATTCTTGAGTTATCATCAGTGCCAACCGGTGCATAAATTGTAAATAATTGGTAAAAGATTGTCGAAACTATTTTAAATGCGCCGTCCGCAATCCAAAATATTGCTTGAGATAAATATTGAATATTATTTTTAGTGGTAAACATAAGAATTCGTTCATGTTCATTAATATGATCTTTAACTAAAAAGTGCTCTCCATTTAATGTAACGCAAAGAGAAGCTGGGATATTAACTTCATCAATACTTTGTGGTTCTGGTGGTATTTCTACTTTTCTAATTCGAATAATTTTTTTACGAAGAGCGTTGTGAGATGGCATGTAAGGATGAACATCTTCTGAAATATTAATCATATGATTTTGAATAATATGCATAGGTTTTTCCCTAGTTTCACCAGCCTTTTTTTTTATTTCTGCAATGGCTTTTGCAACATTTGCACTGCTGGCTTGAGGTGCATGGTTATGTTCTCCAATTTTTTTAAGATAATGCAAACCATTATTTAAAATAGTTGTAGCCCGACCTTTGCATCCTTCTAACTTTCTTTTTTCACAACACCAATAGAATTTGTCATCTCTATTTCTTTCTTTTACCATCAAATATCCACGAACATTTATTTTGTTGTGTCCTTTTTGCGATGGTATAATTTCACAAATCTCGTTCATGTTTTTAACAAATAGGTTTATAAAATCAAGCTCTTTTTGAAAATAATAATATAGAAAAAAAAAAAAGAGGAAGCTAACAATTTAACTCTTATATATATGTTTATTATTAATAAGATCTACTGATGATCGACATAATTTGGTGACCATCGGGAATTCAATGCATATTTGAACATGATCGTCGTTATGCAAAGAGATTCGTAGAAAATTCGCTTTAATTAAAGAGTCGATGTTTACGTCGATCATTTTCGTAACGAAGCAGAAGTTGACAAACCCACGTGTTGATGAGAGTTAGATATTATTCATCTATATAAATTTTGAGTTGTCATTGGTTCAATATTCTCGCATACAATACACTTATGTATCGATTTTATATTGATTTTTGTATTAGTGGGGTGAATTCTGCGTGAGGTAACAAACTCAAAATAATGTCAACAAAAGCTGCAGTATATATTTTCACTTATATTACACCCCTTATCGAATTTTCTATATATGTATATGTATATACGTATATAAATATATATATATATATATATATATTAGATTAAATATAAATTTAGTCATTCCATTGAACAATGAAAATACGATCATGTTGATCCAAATTTGATTATTAGACAACTAAAAAACAAAACTTTTTCTGTGGATTCAATAAAAATAATAGATTATTAAAATTTGGGTTTTAGGTAAAAAAATAAAAATAATAGATTATTCCAATTTGGGTTTTCGGGAAATTTAATTTCATATGCAAAATATATTCTTTAATTAAATAATATCCAAATTAGGTATTAATTCATTTCTTAGAATTCCATCCTTTTCTATTGACAAGACCACATGTTTGTTGATGAATATCATGCGGGAATTCCGTACGGAACCAAAAGACAAAAAATACACAAAATAGTCACCATTTTCCAAATAATATTTACCCTTTTAAATTAGAATATATAACTAGTCAAATAGAATTTGAGGTGATAGCTAATTTAATTCTTCTTCTTTTTGAACCTTGTAGTACAAGATCTCATTTAATAGTCTATCCTCATTACATTTGGTTAGCTGCTGGAGGGTCGCAAGGTTGAGTTCTCCTAACTATCATAGATTTGTTCGCGTAGAATACAAGATCTTTTTTATTGCAACAAGGTATTAATACAATAAAATTTGTTTTATAATTAAACGTTGTAAATCATTAAAGACCAAATAGAGACAACAAAGAAATCAAAAAGAAAAAAAAAATATCTGTTGCATTTAGGATTTCACATTAGTAATCTTAGTAATAATAGTGATAAGCATTTATAGAAATTAAGATCAGCAGGTTATAAATTTTTTGATAAAATGCGTTTCATCGGAGTTTGACTATATCTAGATTTCAAAACCAACTTTTTTTAAGCCCATACAAAAGAAATATAATATGCGAGCGGTTTATTCTATTTATTTGGCAAAATTAATCTGCAATTAAGGTGGGTTTATTTTGCTCGGAAATAATTTTATAAATTCACATGTATCGTAGATCATAATAAAGGATATTTCAAATACCTAGCCTTCTCACATAAGCTGAAAAGATAAGCTATAATTCCTTAGATAATTATTATATTTTTTTCCCGATAGTTAATAGTGAAAAAAGAATGTCAGCTGATCAAAAGAATATTTCGAAAAGTGACATATCTTTCGGAGTGCTCCGCTCATAAAGTTTACACATAGAATTGCCGCTTCGTCCTATCGCAGAACTGTAGCAAAAGCTAGTACCTCCAGGATTACTACCCTTCTTCAACTCGCGCATAGAACTACTATACCGCTCACCCAAACACTACCATCACCACCATCGCTTAATAATGGAAAAAGGATTAATGTAGACAAGACATTTGATTAGATCTAATCTAGAAGAATTTGTATATTAGCGTAAGAGTTAGATAGGGAATATTTATTAATTAAATTTGCATAAACATTTAAAACAGACCGGCGGCACTTATTCTCAACTAGTCTATCAATTGATCGATAAATTCTGATCGGTTAACCTAATGCTGGCAGAAATTATCAAATTACGGGCCAAATTCACATCAATTACATGTGATCAATTAAAAAAATCATACAAAGAACTTGTTTAAGCTGCAATGAGGCGAGAGTTATTGTACCAAGTGATAATTGTTCGATCTTTCTCCAACTCTGTCAAAGTTTAAGTTTTAAAAATTCAGTAGCATTTTATTATATATAGATCGGAGAATCATTAATAATTCAACGAAAGAGAATTGATTGATGTTGCTAATTACAGTCTGGTAGAAATATTTTTAATTAGTATTTTAATTGGTTAAAAAAACTATAATAGAGTTGAAAAGATGAAATATTTTATACGTAATTTACTATGAGAAATATTTTTCTCTTAAGTAGTTTATTAATAAATTTTTGTATTATAATGCGTGTCTAATCGAAATATCAACTTTTTATTATATCTTTTTTTTATTTTTAAATAAAAATTTTATTGAATAATTAAAATGTCATTAATATATTAATAGTATGACTTCTAATTTTTTTTTTTTTAAAAAAAAAAAAAAATTAGTAACGCATGCGTTCATGTTTCTCTAATTACTCCTAGCGAATCTTTATTCCGTTCAATCATATTAAATTTATGATTAAAAAACACTTCTTACTATTTCCCATAATTTAGTTTTATCTGGAAAAATCCGAGATGGCTCCTGACAAATCTCTACAAAATTAACGTTAATTCTTCTAATTATAATCTTTTTATCTTCTTCATTTCTCTTCACATATTCATTTTTCTAATTCAACAATCGTATGATATAAAATTTCTTGTGTTTATTCTTGATTACATTTACATATCTATATATGTTTCCATGTTTTAATATCATTATTGGTTAAAGCTATATTTTGATCGTTATTATCAAATTCTTGATCATCTGCGAGCGTCACATTAATATTCTTCAACCAACATTCTACGAATGATAACTCTTGTTATCCAATCTTTTCCGTTCACTATTGGTATTAATAAAACATGTGATGACCTCAATAACCCTTTTGTCACATATTAAATTTAACATTACATTATTTTCAACTAACAACAATACTATAATAATAGTGTGTAAAATCGCACGTATTAAATCATCGTCATTTATTAGAGCTATTGAACTTATTTTAATATTGTACCTCTGTAACGATCATAAATATTAAACGTTGTCACATAATCACGCCTTATATTCCTTTCTTCTATTATCTTCTACTCGACCCACTAATTTATAACATTATTCCTTACGTCATCAAGTAATATAATACTATTATTCTTTAATAAATCTATTAACCTACTATTTGCATCTATCACCTGGTCAATAGCATCAATACGTTAATTGGGTGAATTATCTAAATCTATATTATTCTTGGGATCCATCTTTATTACTTATTATATCGTATTCACATATTTTAATATTTTCTTCGTTCAAAATTTAACGCGTCTCCTACAGTATATATGTTTAAGACCATATATATCTTCTTAATATCACTCCAGACAGCTGATACTCAATTCTCGATATAATCACAATATTCCACACCGCTATTATCTGTATATCACTCAATCCTTTTCATCTCATCAATTTAACTGCCTTATCATTAATTCTACGAACATAGATTTATCGTATCTGAAATAAAATCCCAAGTATCTATTACCTTCCACATTATTTATTTTATTAATTGTCTTACCATCTATTCTTAATTCCTTGTCAATACTATAATTCATATTTTTTAACGTTCGCATAAATATCGTTGATATTAAAAAATTCATGACATATTTTAATCATCCTTTCCCTTTCTTTATTTCTTGCAATTAATGTTGTGTCATCCATAAAAGCTGCAGCATTCACTATTATCCCTTATGAATTCTGGTTACGCCGAAGCCATTTCGCCGAAGGGATGTTTCGTCGAAGGGACGTTTCGTCGAAAATGATAGAAATGATAGCAATGAAAATAAAAAATTTTTTATTTATTTATTAAATTATATCAGGAACCTTTAATAGATATTCTGATTTACACTCAAATATACAAATAACAAATGTATAAAATAAAACTTACAGTAGACGTTGAATAATATCTTCGATTCTTGATTGAGTACTTTAAAAATATTTTCATTTTTTTAGTTTCTATTTACATTCTTTTGCTACGTCACTTATTTTTTAATAAGAATAAAAATTAAATAAACGTTTTTATTTTTAAGTGTCTTTTCTTCTATGATATTATCACTTTAACATTCAAGTAACTGATATTAATTGTTAAGCAATAAATAAATAACTTTATTTCCTGAAAACATTTATTCAGTAAAAATGATTAATATATTATAAATAACAAGACAAATTTAATAAAAATTAGCTAATTCAAAAATTTTTCTAGAAAAAGATTTCGTCATGCATTTAGTATAAAAACAATAAAATAAACAAATGTAATAATAAATGTTTCGGCCGTTCGGCGAAAAGTTCATTCGGCGAAATAATCATTCGGCGAAATAACATTCGGCGAAATGGCTTCGGCGAAATGGTTTCGGCGAAATGGCTTCGGGGAAATGGCTTCGGCGAAATGGTTTCGGCGAAATGGCTTCGGGGAAATGGTTTCGGAGAAACGGCTTTCGGCAAAATGTCCTATACCAACTTAATTACGTATCTATATATATTTACCGCTTTCAATATTTTAACCCCGTGTTTTTATATTACGATCACGTGATTAAGAAAAAATTTTACTCGTATCTCTTTCCCTAATAAAATTTTCCACGCTTTATTCTTAATATAAATTAACAATTCCAACTATTTTGTTAATAATTCTTATCTGTTGTTCAAGTTTGTTGAATTTTTTAAGTTTAATATCTAAATCCACTTCATCTTCTGATCTATTATCTGAGTTGTTAATTCTTTTCTTACTTATTTCTAAAATTTGGCCACGTTCTTCTTTAAAAATCTTAATTATACTATTCCACGCATTTTTCTTATTGTCCAAATTTAGGTCAGTGTCTTCTATTAATCTATTTTCCAATCTTTATCCGTTTATTGTACATTTATGGTTTTTGTATTTAATGTTTTCTTTGATCATAATCGTCGCTACCAATATTTTATGATCAGTTTGTAAATTGTTTCCTTCTATAGTTTCATACTGTAGCAAATAATTATGATTTCTAAATGGTAAAATAATAACTTAAAATGATCCTTATTATCGGTCAGTATTCTCCGATTGTAATATTGTGTTCGATTTCAAATCGGACTACTGAATCAATGTGTAAAACTAGAAATACAGGAAAAATTATTCAAATTATTCAAATAACAAAGAAAAAAGTTCAAGAGAAGGAAGAAAAATGACGTAAAGAGTAAGAAAAGGAAATTCCCTACGAAAAATAAATGTCCGGAATATGTCAGCGAAATTTCCGAAATATGTCCAGTTATAAAATCTGCACGTCCGAAAAATGTACAATTTTTTTTTTATCTGTCCTGAACTGTCCTGAACCTTGGTATGTCCGGAATTTGTACTAAATTCTTCAAATTGGACAAATTCCGAACAGATCGACAGGACATAAAATCAAATCCAGACAAATTCCGGAAAATGAAAAAAAAAAAATCAGAAAATCTTGGACAGTATTTCTAAAAAAGGATAAAATAAATTTAAATTTAATTAATTTTCACAAAAATGCAAAAATACCAAATCTAGTAGTCAAAACCTTTATTGACATCCAAGAGCAGGCAAAAGTGCTATCATTGCTAATTATGATTGGAATTTCAAAGTCTACGCAAGTGATGATCATCATTTTGGACTAGGGCCTTAAATGAATATCCAGAAAATGTTCCAAAACGTGATCGTTTCCGGAAGTTTTCTGGATACTCAGTCTTGTCCGAAATTTGTGCATTATATCCCGGACAATTTCAAAGCATTTTTCTGGACACATTTTTTTCGTAAGACATTTAAGAAAAAATCCTAAATACTATCATGAAATTTTTTAGGTAGATCGGTCCACGTAATTTTATAAGGATTAGTTCAGAAATATGTGGAATTCCATACATTTCCATATATTCTACGTAGAATTTTTGTGGATCTACACCGAAAATACCCATGTATTTCGTCACAGGGTATTTGGAAAATACTCAGATTTCCACATAATTCCACAATATTTTGATGTGGTGGAAAAAATTTCCTGATGAGGTTATAATATTACTATATCTCATAAAATATTTTAATAAATTTTGTTTCAAACTTCATTTAAGAAAAATAACCCACTATATTTAATCAAAGTGCTGAAATTATGCTGCAGTAAAGTGAAAGAAAAATGCATAGTATAGAACATTTAAAAAGCCTAGTGCGTTATAGCTAATTAAAAATACCCTTATTTAAATTAAAAAATTCGGTATGAATTTTAATTTTAAAATTCGGCTATATTTTCAAATAATAATAATAATAAACAAAAATTAGAATCGTCCTATTTTACGGACCTATCATATTCATCAACTTAGATTTTCACATACTTACATAATATTTGATGTTGTGAATTTTGAGTACTAAATACGCTGTGGACAAAACGATATTTGAAATATGTGGATCCATGCAGGATATGTGGGAATGTATGGAAATTCCACATATTTCTGGACTAATCTATATGGAACGATTTACCTTGATGTTGTATTTCAGAATTTTCGATTTCGATGATCAACCATTCCGATGTGCAGATTAAAAAAAAGTTTTCCGAAAAAAATTTTCTTTGGTTAAAATCGTATTATTATTGCAATAATAGTACAATTCTTAACAGAAAATAAATTTTTTATTGTCATAAGTTGACGACAAATTATACTATCCATTTACTACTCCGTTTCAAGTTGATGAAAAAAAACGCTAAATACAAATATAATAATAATGCATAATGCTCAATACCTTTATTTCTTTGCCTTCGAATATTTTGTGTGAAAAGGAAGAATTGAATTATGCCGCTACCCCATAAATTTTGGCCATGGCGATATTCTCAATTAAATACATATTATTAATTTTTCCAAACAGGAGTAACAGATTATGCTGAGTTTCAGAAGAATCAGATGTTTTACCAAGCGATTTAATTAATACAATTCCAAAAGATGTTCTTGTTTATTAATATTGGTCCAACACATCAAAGGCTACGGTAACACCAATTACATAAGCTTTTAACTGTTCTATAATTGATTCGGATAATTGATTTGGCAACTTTGAAAGAATGCGGTAGCGTAAATTCGGGAGCAATAAATCCAAATAACCATGTATCTCCTTATCTTCCAAAAAGGTAAATAATAATAATTATAATAATAGATTTTTTTGATAGCAAAATTTTCACATTTTTTCAAATGGTTGCGACATAATAACGCTTTATTAATTAATTATTAGACGCATAACAAAAATAGCAAGAGGCGATGTATATTTTCTTGTACATGAAAAACATACTGCCTTTTTATTGGCTTTGGGGTTATCTAGTTAAAAATTCACAAAAAATTGTGGTTTTCTTTACCAATTTTAATTATCACAAAGTAACAACTTGATAAATTGAAAGTATGAAATATAATTTAAAAAAATGAATCAAAAAAAAAAAAAAGATTGATAAATCTTTAGATTTAATAAACAAACAGTAAATTAGTGTCATATCCCCAAATCTCCCGAATGACATTGTTTAACATTATTAACCGTATTTTCGGAAATTAACGATATGCTTTTTAGCGATCAACATATTAATTATGTAATGCACCAATAAAATGTATTATTAATTGTAATGACGATTATTAATGACATTATCACTTAAAAATGACATATATCATTTTATCATTTATCATTTACTTGTGCAGTTTAGATGTCATTTAACATTTTAAATTAGTCATGATTTTACATCATTTGTTAAAGCGAGGTAATGTCCTGCAAAGCAAAGCTGAAATAGCATATGTTATTGCGGAATTCTGTAATCAGTAAAAAATAAAAAATAATGCAGTTATTTTCGACTATTTTTGATTATTATATATTATTATTTATTATTTTTTTTTGATTATTTCCTTTTTTTTTAGTTCGGTCAATTAGATCGGAATAATCAAAACAATATAACAGATTAAACGTATTTTTTCTTTTTTTTCGTCAATTATAGAATTCTGCAAATCGTTATAAAACGTCACACATTTCACCATTTCCAAAATTGGCAATTCATGAATTAGTCTAAGTTTGTCTTACATTCTTTCATTATAATAATTGTTACACAAGGTATGATTAACTCCGGATTCCGAACTTTCATTGTTTTAAAGTTTATCGAATAAAAAATATAAAAATGACACTCGGGTATTATATTAGCGGAATCAAATATCTAATAATTTAACATAAACTTCAAAGTAAAATCGATTCTAATAGACATAATGACAGATCTAACAAATTTATTAAAATCACTAATCCGCAATTTTCCATTAACTTACATATTTTACCGTATCTATACTATATTTTCAAGTATGCGTGGCGTTAAAGCACAACTTGATGCAATACGTAGAGCAAATGAATCTATGGATTGGGAGACTTACAATGACTTGACAAAGCGACATGAATTTAGAAAACAAATGATTCTTAATGATAAAGTTTTGACAGAAGAGAATAAAACCGTTGTAATGAAAACGTTCAATAGACTTTATGACCACGATAAAGTTCTTCATAATGAAGGAATAAAGAGATCTTGTGAAAATTGTCAAGAAGATTGTTTAGCTATATATTATTGTGAGCATTGTATACGAAATTATTTAAAAGCTAATTTTTCTAACTGGACATCCGAAAATGATGAAATCGATAAATTAATACAAAAATATCAAATGGAATCGCTCGCTCCTAATAGAATAGTTGAGTGGATTCCATACAATAATTTACAAAATATAAGATATCTAAATGAAGGAGAATTCTCTGAAATTTATTTGGCAACTTGGATTAACGGATTTTATAATGAATGGGACGTTAAGAAACAACAAATAATTAGAAGTGGAACATGTCCAGTGATACTTAAGAAATTAGATAATATTGAAAATATAAATGGAAATTGGCCTGAAGAGGTATTTACTTATATTTTTATTATAAGTTTTAATTAATTGATATAACTGATAATAATTTTTACTCTTTGTAGATCTTAACACATTTAAATTTAAGTAACAAATGTATGGAAATTACTAGGTGTTATGGTTTAACCCAGGATCAAACTAATAAAATTATTTTTCTTGTAATTTCAAAAATGGACGAGAATTTAAAAAATTATGTATCCAAAAATCATAATATACTTACATGGAATAAAAAAATTTCTATTATGTGCGATATAGTTATTTCAATTTCTAGAATTCATGTTGCCAATATCGTACATAAAAATTTGCATTCAAGGAATATATTATTATCATCGGGTCAATGGTATATTTGTGATTTCGAATTTAGCAGACCGGCTAACAAACCATTATATGGAAATTTACCATACGTAGCTCCTGAAGTTATTAATGGAAAAGAATTTACTTTTGCATCTGATATTTATAGTATTGGTATGCTTATGTGGGAAATTTCATCAGCTCAATTACCATTTAATGATTATGAATATGATTATGATCTTGCAATAAAAATAGTTAATGGAATGAGACCAAATATTATACCAGGAACTCCTTTAGAATACAGCAAATTAATAGAACAATGTTGGGATGCTGATCCATTAAAAAGACCGAATATAAATACTCTTGGAAAAGAACTAATGAAAATCAGGAAATCATATTATCAAGAAGAGCCAAATCAATCAGATAATAATTCTATTAATTCAGACAATTTAGACAATTTAAATTCAAAAAATCATGATGCAAGCACAAGTAAAGTTCATTATTTTGAAGGGACACCAGAACCTAAAAATGTAACAGAAGGTAAAAATATTTAATATTATTTATCCTGTATTTAAATTATTTGCTAAAATTAATATTAAATAATTAATATTAAATCATCAATTTTATTATATTAATTAAATTAGAGAAACAAGAAGGTATGTAATGTATCTTTAGTAAATAAGGTTATAATTATAATATACTTTCATATGATATTAACTTTTTTTTTTTTTTACTTATTCAGATATTAATAATATAAGTTCAAACAGCAGTAGTGAGTAATTAATAGTTAATATAATTTATATTCTTTTTATTATATATTTTTATATTAAATCATAATTTCTTTATTAAAGTTAATCAGGAAATGAATGCATTCCAACAACACATAAAGAAAATTCAAATTGATCTTGATGGTATATATTAAAATTTCTTTCGATCAATCAATCCACTTTGATTATTCTGAGTATTTTGCACTTATTTTTTAGACGAAGAAAAATATAAAAATGCAAATCTTCATTCTGAGGACCAGGATAATTTAGAAATTCCTGATGGTAAGTAATTAAATAAATTATACTGTATCTCTAAAATTAAATTAATTTATTTTTTTCTTTTTAGATATACTGTAATTTCATTGGTTTATAGATAGTTTTTATACTTTTGTTTTTTTTTAGAATTATTTAAACACTAAGATTAGTATATAATAATAAGTTCTTAGTTTGTAATTTAAATAATAATATATAGAGAAATAAAGGTTAGTTGAATTGTTAAATTTGTAAACAATTTTTCATTTTTACGGTAATAATTGATTGATAACTTAATTAATAAATCCGGACAGAGTATAAAATACGTGATATGATACACTTCGATATTTCTTTCTTTAGTATAAAATTAAATTTATTAAAAAAATATATATATATAAATAATAATAATATATAAATTATATATTTTGATAAAATAGCGTGTGATTTAGATCCGTTTATTTTTTTTATATTTATTCAGTCGATTAGAAGTTCATATATTCAATAATATTTAATATTGAAAGGAAATGTTCTAATGATCTTTCTTAAGTCAGTAAATTATTTTTAACGGGATTTATAAGACATACGATAATGAAATCAGCATTATCCTATTGGTCACCACAGTATTCCTAATAACTGAACAATAACTGACTTATTGGATAGAGATAACGGTTGAAACCCGATATTTTTACTAATCATTATTGTAGATTTACTTTATTAAAAGTAATATTTGTTTAGAAGGAAGTTTGATATAACAATATCGTGCAAATCGTTAAAAAAAATGTCAATGCTAAAACTTTATAATAAATTAAGATCAAAAATTAACTTTGTAGCTATTAATTAACCAAAGAATGATAGTTAAATTTACAAATCAATTTCTGTTTTATATATTCACTTTGTTTAATACTTTATAAAAATTGGAAGTTAAAATATAGTCCTTTCTAAATTCTGAATATTGTTTTATTTCATGTGTTACAATATTGGACACAGTATATTAATAATACTAAGGTCTCGCGCACAGTGGCGTAGTGGTATTGCGCAATTCATGACAAATAAGCCATGATAGATAAGCCATAACAGATAAGCCATCATTATCAAGAACACATTTGATTTCATATGATTAACAATAAAAAGCCCCAGGGGGCTTTTAATAGAATTCCATTTAAGATTTCTAAAGACAAGCAAATTATCTATATAAACAGACCTTAAAAAGCCTCAATTTCTAAATTTTTTTTTTTTAAAAAAAAATAAATTGATAACCAAAATTTTATAACCAAATAAATACACATTTAACTGTATACTTATTAAATTCATTAAATTCTTTTATCAACAATAATAATCATGAAATGTGAATTAACCAAAACAATTAAAATCATGTTCAAGATTTAAGCCTATCAATCTAAATGGTACAAGTTATATATGTATGTAAACGACATTAATAAAATTTCACATAAACTCAACATAAGTCAAACTTTCAAAGATCAAAAGGAATTGGTAATAAAATGATAATTCATTCTATAATAAATACTCTAGATTGTGATAATATTAATATAATAACTATAACTTAAACGGATATTTATGAAATATGCTTCTACTTTAACTCTTAAAAAGACACTTTAAGAAAGGGATTTTTTCATTAATTCTTATTCTGATAAATAGCAACTTAAATTGGACATATCTAAAAACTGAAAAAAGAATCAATAAATGAAATCTTTATAAGAATATTAAAACACCAGAAAGATTTATTATATTCGCAAGTATTTATTTATATATTCTAATTGAAATTCAGATAAGCTAAGTCTATTATGAATGAAATCAATCATTTCCTTCAGAGCTTATGTTGCAAGATCTTGTAGTGAATATGTTTTAAGTGATAACTCAGCGATGGTAGATAATTTAGGATGCAGGCAGAAAACATACTTTTTATAGTGAGAAGCAATTTAGTTTTTTGGATAAATTGCATTCATATACTCCACTTTTATGGTACAAAAATGGTCATTTATGTATTAGATCATGATTAAAATCATTTCACAAAATGTGCTTGATAAAATCATTAAATGTGTCATAACACCTGGCCCATCTAATAATACTACTGCCATTCTACTAACTCTCCCCTACCGGGTGGTTGAAAACGTTAACAGAAAACCTATCACAAATGGCTAAAGGTCATTCACGTACATATGTAGTCTTTACCAATCAAATATATACATATAGACAAGTAATATCTTATATTCAGATACATAAATAATAAGGAAAAGTGGAATATGAATTAAGATGTTTTAAGAGAAATTACTGTTGGCAAAAGTATGTTAGAAATATCTCAATACGAAATCATAATAAAAGAAAGTTTTAAGATATTTACCAACTTTAAAAGCTGTAAATAAATATCTAGTCTATAAATACAAGACCATCACCCTAATAGGACAGACAAGAAATTATTATGGTGTTAAAGTAACAACATGAGTTTAATTAGATTATGGAAAAACAATCCGTAAAATATTAAATTTAAATAGATATCTTATTTCAATATCCATAGAATACAAATTTTTTATTGTCCAAATATTTTTTGTCTTACTGTTCTTAGACAATTTAATTTATTCAAATATTATACAAATATTTGTAATAATTATGATGGAAAACTCTTTTATAATATCACTCCTAAACAAAAGTTAATCATGGTTAACTTTATTTTTTCTCATTTTTTTCGGTGAAAAATAATGGAAAAAACTAATAAAAAAAAGAGTACAGAGACAGTAGAACATACCGATAAATGTAGAAAAACTGACGAATCTGCTGCCAGATGTTGAATGTTTCAATGATTCAGAAATACTGATGGACTGACCTTATGAATGTTAAATGGGGAAAGGTGAAATACTGTATATATAACATATTTAGCATTTCAAGAAATGTACCAAATTGGGTGTTGGTTAACAATTTCCAACACTATCATGTAGAATACTTGTATATAACTTTTTATTAATAAGAGTAAAACCTTAAAAAATATGAAGAGAAGGAGGATGGTAGTGAAATATTATTATCACATATTATTATATAATTATGCCTTTTGGATTCTGTAATGCACCAGTGCTTAATGAACAAAATTCTTGAGAGATATTATAGGACTTCATAGTACTGTTGATTTTGGTTGGAAGTTCTTAAATCTCAGATTAATTTATCATTATAAGAAAGTAGAGATTACACAATGTCCTTCTGATCAGAGGGTTCTATTAAAAATGTATTTGACAATACAGTACTTGGATGATTTTTAAACACCTATTTGGCAACTCTTAAAAACAGAACATTTACAAATTGTATTTAGTGAAATGGATTGTTATATTCTGTCATAAATTTACAAAATGTACATTTAAAAAATGTACATTTGTTTTTATTTATACAAAATTTTTTTTAGAAAGAACAAATTCAAAATAGCAAGATATGAAAACTCAAGAGAAATAAGCTATGGATTTCTAGATATATATATAAAAAATTGTATAGAAGATTATTATTATTATATTGGCTATCTTACATGGAAGGACATGAAAGTTTATATTAAAGAAAATGACTTATCAATGCATACATTGTTTTCGAACCTTTAAACTTCCTACGATTCAAAACGACATATTTCTAACAAACATCAATATATTATCAAAGATGAAGATGAAGGCGATTATTATATATGCTCAAAAATTTTTACTCTCATTACTTATTGCCTGTAAAAAATATCTAAAGCTTCAAATTATAGTATAATGGAAATTCTAAAAAATTATTTTTAACAGAAGATTGACATAATTCTTCTTTATAAAAATAAAATAAATAACTCACAGATTTTATTAAGAGAATAATGGAACTGTAAAAAGAAAGACTAAATTATATCACATTATAATAATCTAACTTCACATTAAAGTATTTAATAATATGAGATCATCTATCAAACTCACAAACTGTAGAGAAGATCAGAGAGAAAGAAAGTCTCCTTTTAATCATTACAAAAATTTTCACTATTATGCTCTTATTCTTCAACTCAAGTCTAAGAAACATTTTTAAGAATTGATTGGTATCTTAATGAATTAGCATGTAAAATGGAACAAAAAATAGAAAAATTGGTTTCTTTATCAGCATTATGGCATTCTCTTAAATTTTGTGATATAACATGAAAAAAAGTAACAAACCCACTAATTAAATTGAGAATGGCAGCTTCATACAATACAATATAAAGGAATTTGATTTTTTTTCTTAAAAAAATTAAACTAAAAAGATAACTTTGGATATTTAGTATTCACTCCAAATTATAGATATCTCAAATTAATAATTAATTTAACCTTCTTTCTGATCAATCACTTTGAAATCTTGATTTAAGCATATAAGTATATTGTTTGCAAAACTAAAAAAAGTTACCAAAAGTCTACAATGTATCAATCAGAATTTCCTTAACAAATATCACATATAATACATCAATACTAGGAATATCAGAAATAGGATATATTATAGTTAAAAAAAACTAACAACTATATGCAAAAATATTAAATCGGGAATTTTCCAGAAGAATGTAATTTCTCAAAAATGTATCCATTTCCTAACTCAATAGAATAGAAAATTTTTAAGAAAACAATATACTTAATATTTAAAAATGTGTATTACCAACTATAAATGCTTTAGTATAGCATATATGGATGATGTTTAATTCCTATTAAGGAAGCATATTCAAGCATCAACTTAAAGCTGCTACCTCACTTAATAATCAAAAAAAACAAAGAAGCTTATTAC